GTAATTCCTAAATGAGAGCGAGTTTTTTGACGTGTCTCGCTTGCCGTAGGTAGTACCCCGTTTCTTTACGCTTTATCACCTAGACAAAGTCCTAATTAAGAACAAGGCGGCCACCACCGAGCGTCTACGACATGACCTTGGAAGTGTGGAAACGTGAGCCGTCTGGAATACTATTAAAATGATACTCTACACAATTAAAATTTCTTAAGAAGTCATGGCGTCCGTCAATACGTTAAATCTATAGTGCAGTCCTCAAAAGGTTGCACCGCACCGGAGGGGGGGGGGGAACCCCTCGGCTCCTATAGCAAGATTTTTGAGTACATTTTTATCTATATCTGATCTCTATTGAATCAATAATTTGTCGTACACTTAAATTTTGTACAATCAAAATCTGTGGTTACTGTCCTTTGTTAACCAGAACCATATGTCCTTTAGCATTTATTGCTAAAAACTATACAATCAGTAACATTAATCTAACTTATGAACTAACACATCAGTTAGTCAGTTAATCTCAAATGTAAGTAGATATGTAAAACGTGTAGTAAATGGTGATTGACCATGTCAATCGCCCTGTTTGGGTCATAAACGATCTAGCTAGATTCTTAGACAGTAAACGTATTAATAGTCTTTCAAGTGCAGAAACAAACAGCTGTTCTATTTCTCCTATACTCCAGGAGATGATTTCATGACTTCATTTTGCTCGATATTGATTCTAATAATTACCGTAATCATAATCACGTACTAGTTTTTCGGTCGGTTTTAGATCAAAAACTGATTCTGTTGATTAATTGGATAATAATAAACTAGCTTTCACCCGCGACTTTGCCCGTGCATTTCTACCAAGGGAGCACTTATCGGGATAAAAAGCATCCTATCACCTAAGTCGGCCCATACCCTGCCTGTATACCAAATTTCTAAAGCTTAGATCCAGTCCACTGTACTAAGCATAAGCTGGCGTAAGCTGTAATGTTATGTGTCAAATTTGAAAATAATGCAAATTGTTATAGTTTTGTTTTATTACACGTGAACTTAAACCGGCATAGAAAACTCTAATTGCGGTCAGGATCAAGGTTCTTTTGGCGGTAACCGATATTAACTCGTCGAGTACCGGTTTTATAGACACAATTAAAGAACAATAGGTCGCGGTCACCGGTGACCGCTTGGTGTTTGACAGTTTAAGGTATCAGTAATCCCCAAGACATCCTGAGGGTTTCAGATCAGCTGTGACCTGAAAAAATTGAGTGGATAGTTATCCTTTGAAGCAATCCTTTCTAAGTAATGATGATGATGATGATGAGTGTATCTTTGCCTTTTTATTCAATCAAGTCGATCAGAAAATTAGAAATAAGGTAATAAAATACCTCAGAGATATATTACATCTGTTTTTGTTCAGATCAAATACAATGTCATAAAGAATAGATTTTGCTACAATTCCTTTCTTCAAAACATGTATGTTTTAGATACTTACTATTTTACTTAGTTTTTCTATTCCGTGATTTTACCACATCATACCTTGACCGCAGTCATACTACCTCACATTGGCGTCTGTCACTTCCACCAGGCGATAACAAACACGTCTCAATTAAATAAGCTTCGAATAACGGTCAAGTCAAATTAATGGAAGCGTTTTACCTACCAATAAAACGCATATTAATTTACTTACCTTATTCGAAGCTTATAGTCAAGCTCTGCCTGGTAATGAGACTCAATGAAATAAAAAAAGCGAGTCTCTCTTAGCAAGCCTCCCCACCACTGCCAAGTGGAAGTGACGTAGTAGAAAGAGATAGACATATAGAAAAAGCGGAAGGAGGGAAGCAGAAGGCCTATCTCAATTAAATAAGCTTCGAATAAGGTAAGTAAATTAATATGCGTTTTATTGGTAGGTAAAACGCTTCCATTAAAATTTTCTATTTTTTCATAGTTTTTATTTACCTTCTTAACCTATTTCAATCATATATTTTTAAGTACCTGTTACATTCGGAATTATAAATCTGATTTAAAAAACGTGTTTCATTTATTATAAAATAATATTGTACTAGAACATCGATAAACGAGATATTACGTTGCCACATCCTTATTTCGGAAGCGAAGTAGTTATTAAAATGGCGGGCCGTCCACGCCATGGTCACAATATGAAGACAGCAGATCAAGAATAGTGTTGTACCTACAGTTATTATATTTAAATATATTGTAGTCTCATATCTGTTATTACGGTATTATACAAGTCTGTAAATAGTGTATAACTATTTCTTTAATAGGAAGAAATGTAATGTTGAATTAAATTTCAATGTTATAAGGACATTATATTTCGAAATTAAAGACGAAAATGAAAATAAAATTGATTATCGATGAAGTTTTGGAATCCCTATTTTTTTCGTAGGTATTTGCGGTGAATTTGTGGCCTGGCGTTGAGGGCAAGTTCATGCGTTTTTGCTCTGGCGTTCAAAAGGTTAATAGCTGACTACAGTTAAATTTAGTAGGTAGGTAATGCTCAGATTCCCACTCATTGTTTACTCTCATTTTAACTTTCAACAATACTTAGGATTTACAAAAATAATTCTCGGATGGATTTCTGAATCATTAGAGTAGGCGTTGATGCAATTTCCGGACAAAATGGGAAGCTTTAGTTAAAATTAGTCATCTGAATCATCATAAACTTTTAATAAAATTGTTTGGTTGATGATCAGTTTGTCTAAATCTGTACTAAGTAGGTAATAAAAGTAAAATAAACACTTTTGGTCGCCACCAGTGAATGACTATTTTACACTACTAAAGCAAAAGCTTCTTCCATTCCATAGAAAACATGGTACCTAATTTAGGTACCTAGGTAGGTACTTAGGTAATAAATAGATAGCCGGTAAGTATCACCTAAAGCTATAAACCAGATCACCTAAGTGTTATATTGAAATAATATAGGGTTTATTAGTATCGTAGCTGTCCGTTGTTCCATTATAAAATGATAGCATTGAGGGTGTCCGCGTCGTTGGACGCGATCAGCGTCGCACATTCCAGCATTATACCTATTTATTACCGTCTAATGTGGCCGCTCTCATAATAGACCTGTCTCTACGAGGGTACAGGAAGAATTATAAACAAAGAAGGGTCATTAAAACAGCTATTTTGAAGCGTCTACGCGCCTGGTGCGCGACCAACTAGCGAAAGACAATCGGCGCTGTTGTGTGCTCGTTTAATTCAAGAGCTTTCAGCGATACAAACTCTCAAACTCAAACTCAAAAGTATGTATTTATTTCAATTAAATCAAAATTTGGTACTTTTGAAACGTCAACAAATATGAAATAAATAATAGTCTGTCAGTCTGTCCGTCAGTGAAGCTAGGCGCTCGTTCCAAAATGTCGATTCGAGTGGAGAAGAACGAGCAAGAAACTCTATTCATTACTCTTTTTTACACACTAACTCTTTACATATTATGTGAATGTGCACCTACCTATTATAAGAATATATTAATTTTAAGTAATACTAAGCCTATAGGCATTACCAGTTACCTAGTCGATACCTACTATCCCAATTGTTCACAACATTAACTGTGTGGACATATATCTAACATCCGACGCGTTGCGTGGTCTGATTAGCCAGCTACTGCACCAACAGAACCAACTATCAATATCACTTAATTGTATGATAATTAATACTCGTGACTTTTGTAACTCGCACCGCACAATATCTGGCACCACAATGAGATCGATGCATGCGATGTATTTATATTAGCGAATACTTAGCGTTATGCAAGTGCTGTGCTACGGGCACTGGGTCGACAACCTAATAATTGTTGACTACACTATATCTCCATCTGTCTGTCTGTCACTGGGCCGCTGCAGAGATCTAAATTCTAAAATAACATTACCTACCTACGGATATTTATCTTGAGATTTCATCAGTTGCTGCAATATATTGTAAGTAATATCTTTTCGAAAATCCGAAAAAAAAAATAGGTAGTTAAATTTTGTACTTGACAAGAAACTGGAAATGAAACCCGCGCAGGCTGTTCCTGGTTGGTACTACACGATCATGAAGCAGTTAAAATAGAATCAAGACATCTAGATTTCTTTACACATTAAATATTTAATAGCTAATCGCTGCAGACTTGCAAATTACAATATATGAATACATTTGATTTGTTAAAAGAAAGTAAACATGTAAGAAACTATAAAAATCTTTTATTTTAAAATCACAATACTTAAATATTACTCGACTACTTATAAATCGTATTCATTGTACCATTTATTTTATTGTATAGTGTATAGCGGGTATTATTTAGCACTCATTTTAATGAAGCATTTAACAAGCATATAGTATTTCTATAATATTCTATAATTTTATATTATATGTATGTTATGGAAAATTCATAAGTAGTAATAAGTACATGTTTCAGTTTGGATATTATGTAATAGTCTCGCAACACTGGAATAAATTTTACACAACTACTTACATCCAAATTTAAACATTTTCAGACTACTTATTGCCAAGATATTACAGCAACAAAATATTTAGAATCAGCATCATTGTCAGTATTCTTAAATAAATATTTGATTGAGCTTCTTACTATCTATAATAGCGACGGATTTACAAGGCAAACCAGAGTTATACTCCTGCAATATCTAAGTAGCCATGTAAATTATAGCCTTTTTTATATTATTTTAAAAATGTTAACATTGAATCTTATGTATCTCAATATACTAAGTTTCCAAGTGTTCAAGTAACAAGTGTATTAATTTAAAAATGTGATACAAAGTACAATAATTAAATGAGCAACTGATTATTAAAATCTACTAATATAGTAGGATTTTTTTACACTAGCAACAATTGAATCATCTATTATTTATAATTCTTCTATTAGCTATTCTCAAAATGATGAGTAAGGCACGGTACAGATGAGCTACAGCACTGCGTTTATTGTATATGTTATAGTCTTTGTAATATTTCTTGAGTAATGGGTAACGGTCCTTCCATTCTATTCCGTCACTGTCACAAGTATCCTTTTGTCACAAATCATAGTTGAAGTAGTTGTGTCTCCTCTCCAAGTCTCTGATCTCCACTATGTCAGCCTTTAACCTCAACTTCAGTATCTCTCTCCATATTGCTTCACGGTGTTCCTTGTTCATGATGCCCATGCGCAGCAGTGTGTTGTCATTAATTCTGACTAAAGCTCTGCCTGTTATATCATGCTGAAATTGTTAATAATCACATTTTAATGAGTAGAACAACATTTTGAAAAACTACAAAATTGTATTAAAATACAGTTTTACAATGCAATAGTTAAAACTTGGCTTTATTTACTTTATTATAATTTAGTTAAATATTGAAGATATGCACAATAGTAGATACCCTTGCTGCATCTTAACACTTATTAGCAAAACTATATAGGTAATTACCTCATGGAATTTCTCCCAGTAAAGATTGTAATAATCACTGCAGTGTCGTCTTAACCATTTCTGAACATCGGCCTCCGTCCACAAGTACACCGCTTTAGGGCGTGTTGTTTTAGTCTGTAAAAAAATAATTAAGCATTACTTTAATGTTTATTATCCATTCACTAACCATTTATATTAAGGGCACTAAAGCATTTCTGTTTATTATCATAACAATGGTTATCGAAAAGCCTAGAAAATGAAGTCATCAAGAGTGTTTTATTGCTTGTTTACCTTTGATTTGTTGGAATTCAAACTGGAATCTTCAACCATTTTCGTAATTTTTAACTATTTTTCGAGTAGATCCAATGTGAAATTTACACTTATTCAATATAGAAGACTTGGAGATAGCAACTTTGACTAATTTTATTAGTTTAAAAGGCCTATTTTATTTAGTATTCTGAGATTTGTAAGAATAAACGAGGGTAAATCAAACCAAGCAACTCAATACTATGACATTGACGTTTACTGAATGTTTCTTTGACGTTGACATTAACATGGTATTTTGGATTTGGTAGTTTGGATACACTTTCAACAAGTAAACAACACTGATAAATATTCAAACAACACTGAAAAATATTCAAAATATTCAAAGAAGTATGTATTATTTATTATATTTTGCAGTGTAAGTACGAAATACAAGAAAACACATAGAATGAAAGAAACTAATTGTATCTTACTACTACTATTTTACTAATAATTGTATCTTACTTAAAGTAGTTTTTGTGATTTCTAATACTTGTAACATTTATAAAGGCTGTCAACTGTCATGAAATTATGGTAGAATTTGTTCTCTTGTCATACAGAAAAAATAAAACGATTCAGTGATAAATTCCAACCCAAGAATCAGAAAATGTCAATGTAAAATTATCACAATGGCACAAAATTTACAGAAAAAGCCCTCTAAGGGCATATTGAAGACTTCACGAAGTGTTGATGGACAGGATACGGCGTCTTCAGGAGCGCCATCAACTAGCAAGCGAACGAAAGAGCAAAGATTCGACGAGATGAATATTATGGAAACATTTCATCCGGCGAACAAGGATTATGGTCATATGAAAGTGGACGAGCCTAAGACTCCTTATTCAGAAGCCGTGGACGGTGACTTGGTGCCGACTGACGAATTAGACGCTAATATATTGGCCGCCAAACTAGCGGCGAGTATGAATAAGCCGCCAAAGTGTGTGGAAGCCGAAGCGTCTGCCAGTGACGAGGACATGGAGGAACCTGAGGAAGAACGCCGAAAGAGAATTGAGTTTGAAAAGAAGCGGAAAATGCACTATAATGAGTTCCAAGTGAGTAGTTACTATAGAGCATATTGTGGGTGTGAACTAACGATTAGGTCATCTTTTACAGTATTACAATAATATTGGAATTTGTATGCATTTGCTGGAACAGGTTAGTCAGTTGATATACACTGCAGCATCACCAGATATAAACTCACATATATTTGTCTTATACATTATTCACAAGCTATTATCGAACTTCATTGATACATTGTAGAATAAGATATGGTATAAGAAAACTATTGTCATGGGTAATTATTATATTGCTTTCCATACACAGAAGTATGCTATTGTGAATACTAATTAGTATGCCAATCGTGAACTATGTAAATGACAATGTGCAAAGTAATTTCTGCCTAATTACTGAACACTATAGTACATACTGCTTTGATAACAGGCATTGCATTCTATCATCTTCAGTAAACAAAAAGTACTGAAATAGATCTTCTAAAATAAACAGCAAAAGTTGTTATTATAACTTTGCAAACATTGTTATTTCCCTAAGTAAAACTGAACTAGTCTCCTACATTTAGACAGACCTCAATCAAGCTGAAGAACTGGTCTTCATCAATCTTCATATTTCATCTTTCCATCTTATTATCCGTCTGACCTTATAACCTGGCCCGAATTTAAACTGTCAAACACCAAGCGGTCACCGGTGACCGCAACCTATTGTTCTTTAATTGTGTCTATAAATACGGTACTCGACGAGTTAATGATATTTGTAGGGTCTTTGTATAACCTACCAATAAATTTTTAACTTATTTCAGTAGCATTGGGAAACAAGGTAAAGGTATGTGTAGTTAGTAGAGCTTTTATAAAAATAAATGAAGACAGAAAATACTTTTCATTGTTCTTGTATCCTACACTTATAATTGTAACTAGTTAGTGTCCCTTCATGGACTTATTGTGGCTGACATGATAAATGTTATACTGTTATATAAAACTGAACAATTTTTTTGTGCCGAACAGACCGTGTTATAGATGCCGAACAGACCGAATGAAACCTCGCGGAAGTAGCTAGTATAATATATTGCAATAATATTCAACAAAATAGCATTAGTTGACTAGACTGTTATTACTATTATTACGTCAAACATTAGATAGCGAGATAGCAACACTAGCTATCTGATTGGATATGCATAAACCACACCATGATAAGTTAGCATGCTAATGCAGCATTATCATTATTCAAAGTAAACTTATCTAAATTATGTCATTGATTTGTATCATCAGTATTCCATGTAATTACCTATTTATGTTCAATTTAAAGTTTATTTTTACTATCTTGATAGCTGTTGTTATGAGATTGCTTGTCGGTTATTTAATTTTATCAGTAATTTTCATTGTAAAATCGTTTTACTACACTTTTGTAAAGCTCTGTGTTGTTTTTAACATACAGTAAAAACAGTATTGCAAAACAATATAGTTGAAAAAAAAACTCGAAAATGTAGATATTAAATAGTTTTGATAGAATGCCTGCTGGCGTTTGGTGCTGCCCAGTCCCCAAGTGGTCACCGGTGACCGCTCTCCTCTTCCTCCATTATAGACCGTATTTCCGATGTTTAGAGACTACTTTTGTATGAATAAATGTTGTGGATTTTTCATAATTGGGTATTACAAAGGTCTAGAAATATGTTGTATTATAAACTATCGCACATTCTTACATGATCAGTTGGTCACATGATGCTATAAGTACTGTACTCATGTCTAAATTGCCTGATAAGCTGCACACATCTCGTTAAGATCCTATTACACTAGACTCTAAAGGTTAATTTATGTGAGTGATCTCTTGACCTACTCATATTTATGTATGTGTGTGTAAGTATACACACTACTTGTTATGTGATAGTCAACTGCATTATAAATAGTAGTTATGGAGTATAATAGGTTTTTCGAAATATCCTACTCCTAGGTGATTGTTTAATTTAAAAGAATGCTGGGAGAATAATCTTCATATGTACTTTAATTAGAAAGGGTTCTAAGACCTTATTAATACAGGATTATTTTGAAATTAAACTCTCATTTCAGGCACTACAACTAGCGCGGCAACTGATGGCACAAGAAGAAGACGAAGATGAGGATCAACCTCAACAGCAGAAAACCTGACTGCAGCACATGCAAGCACTTGTACATAACATGCACCAAGGCTTCGAGCGAGCATCGACCACTGCGTACACCAAGGAGTACCAACTCGAGTTAAACCAGGGATACATTAACACCACCCGCTCATCATCACACACCATATAGTATATGTCATCATCGTAATCTGGATATTTCAAGTGATTAGTGATGAAGTGAGTGGTGCCTCATCCCGTTAATGTGCCCCTGTCTTTATTTACATCTCTACAATTATTAGAAATCTTTATTCAGGGTTAATAATGGTTTTGGTGAAATATCATGTAGTGTCTTACAATATTTTGCCTTTACAAAAGAGATCGAATTTGAACGATCTTTGTGTTTATTAACACGAATCTGTTGTGATGAGCTCAAATATTTGGTTTTTACCACATAATTAATTGTTGAAAGCACAGTCAGTACATTATAAAAATCATTTTAAATGTCTTATGCCAGTTCAGAGAAGCAACCTTCAGAACCAGTAAAACTCCCATTTATTACTATCTTGCAATTATTTAAGTAGAATTAAAAAAGAAATGTAATTTGGAGGATTTTATAAACTTTTTGGAGTTCCATATAACACCTTTTGCAGCAAGTAAACTATGTTCTTTAACAGATAAATTGTTTCTAAATGTCGCCAAAATTACAACTTGCTATAAACTAGATACCGCAATAAATATCTATTCCGAAATTACCAACACACAGGGGTATTAAACAAAATTGCTTGTTACGTAATAGATGGAGCACTATAAATGAACAATTCACAAAACCTATTAGGTCATGCAAGCTGTTATGTTAACAGCTCTTGTGTCGTGTTATGTTATAATAAAACTCGGTTGCATACTTTCATAAGAGTTAGTAAATATTATACGTAATAAGTTAAATGATAGTTGTAAACTAAAATATAACACAATGTGTTCTTAAAATACGCCCTGGGCATCGCATGTTCCTTTCGGAGTTTCAAATGAATTTTAGATGTGCTAACACAAATCAAGGTTGTTACCAAAGCGAATTATTAACCATGTACTAAAAATGTTTCATGGGCCCTGTCTACTGAGCCATTATTATTTCTCATCACGATTCTACGTAGTCTGGCTTTTTCGTGACAATACTAGCAATAAAAATGCCATATTTACAACAGCCCGTAGAACGTAGATCAATACTGTTATATTGTATGTATAGAGACAGTGAAAGATATGTGATATCATTGATTACTTTCTGATTAGGCTATAGTTCATTCTACAATAAATATTATAGTATTATAATGTATGACTATCCTTTGAAAACTTATTCTTAATTGTTTTATATGACTAGTAAAACACAATGAGCTTGGAGCCAGACTTTTTCATATGTTAATTCACTGCAATGTATTTTGACTAATATTTTATTCTGTAGGTTAGAACAGTGTCTTTGATTTTGGTAAATGTTAAGAAAGCCAAGTCCTCGCATGCTCCCACAGTTTGTTCAACATTTTAGCTATCTAACTTCCATTTCACATGCTCTAGCAGCTAGATTTGAGAATAAAATTGAAACGATTGAAAACCTCTTTAAAACAAAAGTATTTTACTTAGAATATGAACTATAATTCTAAACCTAATCTAATTAAACATACTGTTGTATTAAATGCCTGCTTTTGCAATGTTTATTTTCAAGTCTGCCTGTTAGACATGACCACTTGTAATTAATTAATAGTACCTAATAATGTCTTCTTTTACAAATAAATAAGTATATAAAGTCATTTTACAGAGTATATGAGATAAAAGAATATATATTTGTATTGAAAGTATATCTTTACATTGTATTGTTGAAGGTAATGTCGTCTTGTACTCGACAGCTGACTTACTTACATTACATTTTGATGTAATTTTGTGTAAACTATGTACTTATCATTATGGAGCTGTATGTGCCAAGAAATTATATTTTGCGCATGAAATATGTGATTTTGAGAATCTGTTTCTGTCTCGAAAGATTACTATCCAACTTGATTCTTATTTTCTTTACTTTTTATATTCCTGTCGTAATAAGATCGAAAAGCTAAGTGCAGTGGTTTAAAATGATACTGTTTGATGAAATAATTATGCAATGTTATAAACCTAGTTGTTTTGTAAGTAGATGTCTATTAAGAAGGTGCACGTCATCAATACTTAACACTACTAACTTAGCAAGCAATAATGTCTAAATTATTTATTAAATATATTATGACTAGTCTATTAGACTGCTGTCTGTGACGTAATATTAGTTGTGAGTACCTAAGTCTGGACATAATTATTTTAATCACATAAATTATCGCGATAGTTAGATAGAAATACAATTAAAAATTAGATATAAATATTCCGAGGTCGGTATAGAATTTTTTCGCTATCGGACGTAGACATAAACATACGTATTGGAAGTTCTACTGATTCAAAAACCTAATTTCTTCTGATACGCGATGCCCAAATATATAGGTACCTACGTGACTTATATGATAAGAAAATGAAAAAAGTATGTAATAAAATAGACGCTTTGTTAAATTATAAATTACAGGGCTTGTAGGAAATTAAATAAAAGTTTTAGAATATATTTTTGAATGTACGAATTGAATATTTTCTATATTTAGCAAGATAGAATGCGAGGTAACTGTTGTTGTTTAAGTAACATTTATGAAGATTTAATTCACACTGAGTACTGAATATAGCACAATAGAATTTATTTATTCATGCTTCGTAATAACTGAATGCCAGTTTTAATTAGGAATATAATTATTGTTTCTCGTGATTAATTTTTTATACCTATCAATTTTGTTTTTACTTTTTGCAATGGTGTCGATGCTCGTGCTGAGAACAATGGGTACCTACGCTTATTTTTTGGTGCATTTATCACAAATGCAATTAATTCATGTGTTAACCAAAGTAATTTCAGTGTGAATTAACATCAATCTGGCATGTGTTTTTGAATGCTCATTAATTTTAAAGTGTTTATAAAATCAATAGCACATTTCAAATCATATTTACTTATCCATTTTAAAATGTCTAGACGTCGTTCCTTTGCTATTACATTCAATCTTGTCGCTGTCTTGTGGCTTCATTTTTTTAGCGTGCATTTAATATTCTTCTATTATATTGTGCCGTGTTTCAAGTGAATTTAATTTTTCTACTTGTTAGAAGCCATGCGACATCGTCTACGGGCCAAATATTTATAAATCGCTTCGTGACTTATGTTTCGCGTGTGTATGTCGAATAGTTTTGTGTATTTTTACTACTTATAACAATAATATACAAAGCAATATTTATAAAATATTGTGTTATTCGTTCACACATACCGTACATTGGCCTTATTCGAAATTAAGTTGTTGCATTTTATAATAGCGATTGTACAGAATCGGCTTTTCCTAAAGTGTATGTGTAAATAGTAAATAAAATGTAATACTTTATCAATGTGTTTATTTATTCGGTATCCAACCTTTACCTTAACTATTTCAGAATAATGTAGTAACCTTTAAAATACCCATTTGACCAGCTATTTGTTGTAATTGTAAGAGGTAGCCTTCTCAGCCTGCATTCGCTACCCATTGTTCGAGTTACAGAGATTATCAAGTGTAATCCTAATAGAAAAATAATGTTTGCTCTTTTTAGAGCATGTTTATTTTTTTTTATTTTAATCATAAAATAAACAATTAAACATTATTTCCTTGATTATACTTCTGCGAATCCCTTCTGGGTGGCTAAAGAAAGCGTGATGTTGCGTTTTGTTTAACCAAAAGTAGAAAATGATTCGACAATATAAAAATCCATTTTAGTTTTCAATAGACTCGGCTTATGCAAGGTGTACAAATTTCATTAAAAATATATTTTAATTAGGTATTTACGATAAAGAACAATTATTAATTAATCTTCGTCAGAAACACTTCAATGACTGACAAACTATCTTACATAGCGAACGAAACGTAAGTTTTTAAATGGCGTTTGTATTTTGTTTGAATGACTGAAACGTCGTCTTGACAACGAATTTGGTGGCTTTTATACGAATTATTCGATTGATTTTAATAATATGAATTTATTAAATTATGGATGATCCCCACCAGATTCCTCCAAATACATCTGAAATAAAGGTACGTTATTCAAAACAAACTCACTAAGAAATCAATCTCACGACGAGATATTTATAATTCGTTAAAAATAGTTTAGAGATGCATAGCTGCAGCACCTTACCTGTCTCATTTAAATTTACCTGCTATCTAATAGTGTTTGTAATTATTATACCTTCCCTTTCATTCAAAAAGTTGGTACAGCTTATAATTTTCCTTCTACCTTTGACCAATTTTAACACCGTTTATTTATATTTTTTTCTTTATTTTTAGAACATACTTCCGGATGTCGTGCATTCACAACAGATACCCACCGTAGGAAGTGTTACAAACGACACAGAGACAGATATACAACCCACCGAAACCACTGAAGAAAACACAATTTCACATGATGGCCAAGAAAGCAAGACTGAGTCTATATCAGAACATATTCCCTCCAAAATTGAGTACTCTACAGATTCTGACCATGCAAGTAGAACACAGGACCTTCTCAGAGTTGAGCCCGAGCAAGACAAGGTTGCTAAAAATAGTTCCTTGAACTTCCCTGTACCACACTCACCTGTTAGTGACAACCCAAGTACTCAAGATCCCAGCAAAGTAAGTTTATCCTTGCCATTAGATGTTAATGCTGTATCTGATATCCATCTTTTGAGTGAAGAAAGTCCTGTTAATTTGGCATTATCATCAGATTTATCTAAAGATACTCATGACAAATCACAGATGTCCGATCAAAATGTGCCATTAAGTAAACATGATACGCCAAACCTATCTCCTAGAAGTGACAAGTATCTTGACTCTCTAAATGAGGAATCTAGCTACAAATCGGATGTATCTGAACATGATTCTGCTGATGTTTCTGATAAAATAGATTCACCTGAGAAAGTGAGTTCAGGATCTGAGGAGATAATAAAACTTGATATTAGAGGTCAGGGGGTCCCAAAATTTCCCTTCCCAGCTGCTAAAATCATATTTGGACCACCACCTGAAGGAGGGACCGTTATAGATTCTAATGTTGAACCCATTCCTGTATTCCCAAACTTGTTATCTCCATTCCTTGTTGGTGCGGGGGATAGTCTCAAAGTTGAAGAGGTGTTTGATGACCAAGGAGCATCTAAAGAGCCATCACCTGATAAGTCTCTACATCTATCACCGGAGAAGGAAAGTTTGTCAAGTGATAAAACATTACCATTGTCTGCTGAACAAGTGAGTCTTTCCACTGACAACTCGTTACAGATGTCACCAGACAAACAAAGTCTATCAAGTGATAAAATTGAGGCTGACTTGCTTGTGGAAGAGATTACTGTTGAAGATGAATTGAAAGAAAAGGTCTATGATAAACCAGAGGAGAGTTCTATGCCAAAATCAATGCTTCCGGAAGAGACAATATCTTTTAGTACAATGACAGATTATAAGACAATATGTGAAGAATATCATGTGAAGGTACTTGTACTAATACATGGGTTTTGCTTCTGTGTGTGTCTCTGTTTCACTCTAATATGCTTTCTTATACTGCTTCTCACTCCAATGGCATGCTATGTTCTAACATTTTACAATATTCACTTCTTGATCTATGAAAACATTTCTAAATACTATGTCCCTGTATAACTTTGACCTGCAACGAAACTTGGTTTAAGGTTTTGTTTTTAAACTTTGTTTTAAATAAATGATTTTTGATTTTACTGTTTGTGGCCTTTAAATATTTCATAACAGGAAAAATTTACTTATAATTATAATATAACATTGTACTATGCACTGAAATGTTTATTAGCATTGCTTCAGTGCTATATTTGTAGATGTACAAATAAAATGTTAGTTGTGAACATCATGAACTTGTTGAAGTGTAATTTAACTTCCAAGTAGGTTTTATGCATGCGATCTATTTTCTGTATTGATGATCTGACATTAAGTTGTCATTTTGATTGATATGGAGCTTTTATTTACAAATGTTGTTATTTACTTTTTATAACTGCCATGTTTTCCGTAAGTACATGAGAACAGAAATGTTTGATTTCTATTTAAGTGTCTTTGATTTTGCACACTTTTAGGTATTGTTTCATTTACCATTATTCCATTCATTTAAGATTTGTTACATTAAGAACGTACACTTTCATAAATGTTTGCTTACTGTGCTTCCATGTGAACGTGTTATGTATTGAACGCTTTCTGTCCTTTCAGCTTGTGCACTTGGAAGACGCTATAACGCAGCGTGACGAATTAATTGAAGAACTGACCATCTCATTACAGCGTTCGGTTCGCGAACGAGATGACCTTAGACATGAGAATGAACACTTGACTAATGAAGTGCAGAATCTGCAGCACATTGTTGGGGAGAGATCGCACTCAGAACATGACACAGTTAAAGCTCAACTTTCAGACTTTATTAAATACCAGAGCTTGCTTAAAGATGACAGCACCAAGTTCTACTCAGCTGTCATGAGTGGAGGATCCTCATTACAGAGTTCTAATGGGGAAAAAGATATGGATAGGGAAGAAATAGTAATTAATTATTCAAAGTCTGATTTGCGTATGTCGGACGCGTCGGATGAATTCCAGACTGGTTTCGAGGAGAAATTGACAACGATAATAAATAAGTTTGATAGTTATATAGAGGAAAATTTGAGGAATAAGCTAAGGGAGAGTCTGATACAAGTACTGTGTGATGAAATAGGTAAGATGAGGATAGAAAATGATACTGAAATCAAGGAGTTGGAAGCTCAACTGCAGAGCGACAAGCAAGCTTACACGGTAGAGACGCGGCGACTGAGGGAATTGCTAGCCTCGGTGAAGGCTGGTAATGCAGATATTGAGGCACTGAGGCAAGAGTTGGACATCAAACATGAGAAAGAAATGGAGAACTTGAGGACTTATTTCGAAAAGAAATGTTCTGATATGGAAAGAAGGTGAGTTTGTGTCTTTTTCTTTTACATGCCATTTTCAAATTACGTTTCTTGTTCAAGAATATATAACATTACACAATTTTAAATGCCAAGTACACATGAAAGTATCCTTGACATTCAGGGAATAATTAATTTGCTAGACTTAGTTTAAGTATTTATATCGTAGTTGACGTGTACGATGGTACTATAACAAGGTCACCATGAAATACTAATTATATGCTATCTTTGTTCGCAACCAAGGCCACAGCGAAGGTGAGTACTAAAACTTATTAATTATGCATTTTATTTCTATTTTCTTTGTTTCATTGTTGTCTGCAATTAACTTATTTTTAGAGTTTCTATTGAGTTCATTGCAAGGATGGTTGCATAACATTATTTATTAACATAACATAACATCACGCCTTTTATCCCCGAAGGGGTAGGCAGAAGTAACACCCACTTTTCACTATTTATGTTATGAGTCCCATGTAATAGGGAGTGAGTCTATTGCCATATACCAGGCACATTTCCAGACTCCGTGCTACTACTGAGTTTTTTTTTAAATACCCTGTAATACTCTGCCATACCCGGGAAACGAACCTGAGACCCCTTGCCCGGTAGTCGCACTTGCGACCACTCGGCCAACGAGGCAGACATTATTTATTTATAAAATGAATTAAAAATTTACTTGCACAGTGAGATTTATAAATAAACCAAAACCACCATTAATGATTTTCCTGTTTTTCATGAAAGATAGCAATTATGTTATTACTATTTGTCAAATGAAATGCGACCACAATGCTTTAATCGAAAATCACTATTTACAGACATACATCATCATGCGTCTTATTCTCCAAATGGAGAGAGAGAAGTGTTCTTAGTTGCCCATAATATTATTATTATAATAAAGAGTATATTATTACTATTAGACACAACTAACTATTGTAGATAGCAAAATAAAAATGTACCTAGAATAATTGATTGTTGTATGTATGTAGCCGTACTGATATTCATATGTATGTAACTGTGCTAGCTACTCGGAGGAAGTGTGGCGCGACAAGGCGTGTGTGTCGCCGTGTGGGTCGGCGACGTCTCTGGACGCGCCCACCGACGCCGCCGGCGACCACGCACGGCGCCGCACGCGCAGTGCACTGCTTACCTCACTCAGCTTAGAGGTAAATGTCGAAATATTCAAACGCTACTCAATTTAAAGTCGTGCTTATAGTTCTGTCACTACAAATTGTTTTTGAAATGACAGAGATGGCACTATATTTAAGTAACTATCTTAAGTAACAACTTAAAATTGAGTTACCTTTCAGTATTCTGGGAAAAGTCGTATAATTTCATGATGCTAACGTAATTAACAAACTTTTGAATATGGCTTCTGAAATTACGTTTTATAACAACCTAAAACAGACATTATTAAATTCCAATGACAATCAATTTTGTAAAGCACATATATGTTTCAAGGTAAACAACAAAATTCAGCTCGGGTTCCATGAAATGTCTGTAATAATAGACTACTCAGTTTTTATAATAACGATCGTGAGACATACTAAATTTACTAAAATCGCGTGTTACTCACGTGAATAAACTGAGAAAAGCTCTACTAGTTTCGCGCAGCTCACAGCGACGTCGCCGCGACCGCACACGCTGCTCATGAGGAAGAACCCCTCTGTGATTCGAAACTAGTAGAGCTCTCCTCAGTATATTCACGTGAGTAATCCGCGATTTCAGTTAAAATAGACTACTCTACTTTCATCTTTATGGCATTGTTTCACAGTCGACTCAACTGGAGCAGTCGTTGAAGCATTTAAGCAAGAAGTATGAACAGCAGATAGACGAGATGAAGGCGGAGCACGTCGCTTACGTCAACGAGCTGCAAGCTACGCACAGGGAGGCTATCGCGTCGCTGGACGAACAGGTGAATTGTCATGTCTTTATGACATCAGCTTTATTAGCTGCCCAGACCTATTTTACTCTATATTTTAATGGTTCGGTGATGGTTAAGTAGAAATTAGTAGAATACATATGACACTAGGTCTACTATTCCAGCAATTATCGTAAAAGGCGACAAAGGGTTTGCATAATTTCCAGAAACCAACAGTAGCGCTCTGTGATAAACCTGAACATTTTAAACTGCCATCTTCAGCCTGCCTGCCTGCCTGCCAGGTGTGGAGATTAATCTCTTGACTGCCGATATGTAAGACACATTAGAAAATATATTGTGTCTCGCGTAGATCTGCACACACGCACACACACACACACACACACACACACACACACCCTCACACACACGCGCACACACACACACACACACACACACACACACACACACACACCCTCACACACACACACACACACACACATACACACGCCCGCACTCTCAGATACACACATATTCATATACAAAAAGTTTACTTTTTTTATGTAGCCTGGGCCCCACGACACAGGGAATCCTAGTGTGAGGTCCAGGATACAACAAAATTGTAATATTTTCTGAAATAAACATTATCCTTATTATTATTCTTATTATCTGCGTTCCGGCACATGACGGGTTAATGCCTACCTCTCTTAGGAAGGCCGTAAGGCCATAGACAAGCAGTCGTATATCACGAACGTGGAGGTGATCTAATGCAATAAGCTCCTTCCGTGAAGTAGTATAATATAAATCGTAATGTAATGAAATCTGCAGTCTAAAGATCTAAATGAATTTATTCTTTACAGATTACCCAACTGAAAGCTCACATACAAACAGCGGAGAACACGGAGACGAACGTGTCTCTGTACCAGCAGGACATTGACCTCGAGCTGGAGAAGGTTAGACCTATCTGCTAATATCTGTACGCACGCCCGCACATGAAACTACCCTAATCCCTCAAACTTCAAAAGATTTTAAACCTTGTACCTTCTGTAATAAAGTCGTAAATCGATTATGCAGTTCGGGGTAGGTTTATGTGCGTGACGTATGTACGTAACTGTCACTGAATGTCGTGCAGTGTGTCCCCGTTAAATTTAATGTTGTGAACCTAACTTGTTACCTATTTGTTGCTTTAATAACTTAATATGACAAATATCTTCAAATAAGAGCTTAAAATATTATTCTTGGTTAAAAAAATCTGGTCCTATGCGATAGATGTCGCTAGTTTGATTTAATATCGATTTATAATTTTGTATGAGAAAGTATACAGCCTTGATATAGGCCTTCATAACTGAATAGGCAATGCTTAAGTTCGTCGATATATATTTATTTTACTAATACAATGTTGTGTATATAACCGCATGCAGGGGAAAGACGTCCAAGCTTACGGTAGCCTGAGGTAATCTCTCCTGTGGCTGTTCAATCTTTCCTTCTTGATATTGTAAAATAGACCTTATGATCGGGACTATATTAATCAAAATTCAATATCATAAAAATCCCTATATTCATTCATTTTGATTCATTACATTCTAAACCTTGTGTTGAGTTATACTAGAGGTTATTCTCCAAAGATATAGTCCTGAGTCTAGGGCCCGTATTAATAAACCGATATCAGCGTAAGAGTGAGATGTTAAGATCCTGTTTGATATTCCGACATATTAATAAACAAAACCTAATACGCGGTTTAAGACCTTGTCATCACCTGAGATCGTATTGTTTAATAAACATTACTCGGGTTTCAAGATCGGTATTAGGACGGTTATCAAGACCACGATTGTTAAGTTCAGTCGGCCCTGGACTTAATATCGTGAACTCGTACCTAAGTATTTCGCGGGAACCATGAATATTGAGAATATTATTTCCGAAATCAATTATTATGATGAAGTCGACTAATACGATGATATTTTATGGCCTTTTCAAAATCTATTAAGTACCTACCTAAAGTTTATATAAGGGACGCGACAAATCCCTTCGAATTACCTACGCAAAACGGTTTCGATTTAATCAAGAATCAGTGCTGTTGATATCGTGTCGTTGATAAGTAATAATTTGGTAAAAAGTGATAACAGAGGGCTGCCAGTTGCACCAGAAATTGCAGTCTTGCTTACTTTGAGGTTTTACGCTACAGCATCCTTTCAGGTAAATTATTTTGATCAATTGAATCGTAAATATAGAAAAGTTAAATTTGTTATGTATGTTAGACGATTTATTAATAATGACAAAAACTTTCAATTTGTGTGCGGGGATCTCATTTATTTATCTCAGCCTACAGTATCAAACGTCGTTAGAAAAGTATCACGACTGCTAGCATTACTCCATAAAACCTATATTTAAATATCTACAGGAGATCAAGCTAGCTTGAATAGGCATTTTTGACTCCATTATCGAATATTAATAAGTAACATAACATCACGCCTTTTATCCCCGAAGGGGTAAGCAGAGGTGCACATTATGCCACTGTACAATGTAACACCCACTTTTCACTATGTAATTGGGGGTGAGCCTATTGCCATATACTGGGCACAATTCCAGACTCCGTGCTACTACTGATAATTTTTAAAAACCCCAGCAGTACTTTGCCCGACCCGGGAATCGAACCCGAGACCCCTTGCCCGGCAGTCGCACTTGCGACCACTCGGCCAACGAGGCAGTCGATTAATAAGTAACTTGTAAATAAACACGAAATACTGATATACATGATTACATGATTGTATTATAAAGTACCTAATAAACAATTGAGAGAAAGAGACAGATATAATAATGAGGTGAGTGACGCGCAATCCCTGGTAGGTATGTGCTTTTGTCACAAAATTAAACGTAACTTTATAATAAATAGTGCTTTTTTATGGTCAAACAAATCATAATGTATACAATATAAAAAAGTAATATAGTTTCCTAAGACTTCAATCAATTTAAACTGGAAAAAAACTTTTATTCCTATGCATACAGAGTTAAATATTATCGTTCTACAAAGCTATTACTAAACGGAATGAACGAAAGATGTAATAGTTCGTTCGCTGTGACGTAACAAGTCTCAACATCAGGATTTCATTGAGTGTCAAATTACGAATCTTGATAACCCGATCCAAACCGCGGTATCACCTGAGATCGTGTGGATATAGGTTTATTAATTAGCGTCGACATTAAGATGCTGATCGCATCTTGAGAACGTATCAACTGATGCCGGTCTTGATATCGTGATTGAGACTTATTTATTAATACGGGCCTAAAATGATCACGGAAAGAATGAGATACTTAAACGTGGCCTTAAAGCACATTAAAATATTGTAAATATCACAATTTAATATCACTTCTATGTACAATGCAAAAAGGTCTAATTTTCTACAGCACATATTGTTACTTATAAGGTTGAATAGCAATTTAAGGTGGATGAAAAAACCAGTAATAGGATTTCTACATATTGACATATCCAATTAAAGATAAAAGCCATTAAACAAGGTTAAATTTAAAAAGTACCTGACTGTGGCATAATGTGCACCTCTGCTTATCCCTTCGAGGATAAAAGGCGTGATGTTATGTTATGTTACCTGACTGTCTTGACTAAACTCACTCCCTATTACATGGGACTCATAACTTAAAATAGTGAAAATTGGGTGTTACATTATACAGTGGCATTAAGTGCCGTAACGTGCACGTGCCTACCCCTTCGGGGATAAAAGGCGTGATGTTAGGTTATGTCTTTTATGGGCCGATTTTTCAATCGTCAGTTAATTCTTAAATGTAGTATAAAATTGACATTTGACAGTTTTGAATATAGTCAAATATTCAAAGTTATTCCTCACTTAAAATTTATCTGAGCATTGAAAAATTGGCCCTTAAAGACTAGGAAGCTGTAAATGACAGTTTTAAGCTATTAAAAGTTTAACTTATTAAAAACAAACTAATAGTCCTAATCAAGATATATCGATTTAAAACTACATATCTTCTTTTTTTACAATTTTACAAAAACAACACATTTCTTTCTAAATTCACAATCATACACCCGAGTATCAAATTTCATTTGGTGATAGACCATACCCACTACACCTCAGTTGTTATTCAACCCCTTATTATAACTCATTCTGTCTCTCTCCTGCATGCTTGGAATGCCACTAACACGCTCGTGTGTGACTAAACGGCGCGTGACGTCATCACGGTAGAAGATGGAGGTGCAACTGGAAGCCAGGCTCGATGAGGTCAGGGATCAGGTCAGGCAGGAGGTCGTCAACCATCTACAGGAGCAGCTACAGGTATGTCTAATTGTTATCTTAGTTTTTATTCATTTACGACGGCGTATTGCAAGCGTATTAATGCTAATATAGATAGTTACTAGTCTAGTCGATTGGCTTTTCGATAATGTATGAGATTGGCTTTTCATAAATTATATGAAAGATAATGTTACACATTGATTTTTATATTCATTTGATTCACTAGTTTATTAAAGTAACGACGACGACGCTAACGTAATGAGAGTAAGAGCGCCTTCACAATAGCTTTGGTCCAACCTAGGCGTTCGATAAGCGTACGCGCCACGCAGACGTCAAACGCTAGTAAAGGCGCTCTAACTGTCAAGTATTATACATGTTTTGCTCTTATCTTAGGGACGTATTGCATTACGTTTACAATACGCCGTCTTGTATGAAAAAGTTTCTTCTTTTATATCCCTCCATTTACCCTTGCTAGTATATAGCATTCCTTCTGGTAATGAGTTAATATAGCAACTGCTTATTTATCATTATGTTGGCACTGTTAGCAGACAGTTGGCCGCCGATATTTGAGTTCTAATATTAAAATGAACGATGGAAGCTAATTTTGCATCTTATGACGTAGGTCTTAAAGTTGTATTTGTAAAAGCCAGCTTGCTTAGTGCTTAGAGTAAGCTTTTAAGCCAAACATATTCTGTGTAATTAACCCATGTGCAGTGTAAATTAAAAATATATGTCTATTGTAAATAAAGCAATGTAAATATCAAAGTATTTACAACGATTCCACTCCAACAATTCTATTACACAAGACTTTCGACACGAATAAGTTCACATAAAATGTAAATAGGTATGAACACTGACTTTTATTACGAATTCCCTAACTAAAATACCCATAAATATTTTATGGAGTCCTAAACTAACTGGAGTAAGTATTTCACTGAGATTCACTTAACCTACATAATTATATTCTGTACTAAAGACTTTCTCAAAAGTCATTTGGGTGATCTCGTAAACTCTTCAAATGTTTTCCAAACCTATTTATTTGGGTTATAAAGCTTTCTGTTTGGTGTTGGTGTGGTGTATTGTTATAATATATCGGATCTTTCTATAGTCTTTGAAAACGAATTTCTACTGCACTTTCGAAGTCAAAAGTGCGACCACAAATATTAGTGCAGAATTAGCCGGGTATTTTATACTTTATCTTTGAATAAACAAATACATGAATACCGTTTATCCACTGACTATTCCTTCGAAGAAAACCAACGTGATGCAAGAGTAATCTCTTGTTTCTCCTCCGTATTTTACGGCTGACATATCAATATAGATATTGTTTTCAATCGTATTTGAGTGAACACATCTGTGTATCATCAGTACAGTTATCGATAAAACTGCTTTTATTTGCGATCTTCCGTAGTAACTCGTAGTACGAGTATGTAGCTGCCCTGCGTGCTGTGTCCAAGTATTGGCCTGGTGCCATCTCGGTACTCCATTAATAAATACGCGGCCGACGCACTAGGCGGCGTGGCCTATCGCTCGAATAGACCAAGGCTTAGCACTTGGAGGGAACACACTTCCCCCTTGAGGTTATCTCATAAAAAAATAAATAAACAAGCAATATTACCCTTTATTCCAAGTGAAAGTGTTACTTTTTCCTTTGTGATGTGATTCTTTTTTTGTTACTTTTAGTGGATTTAAGGACAATGACATCTATTTGTGTTTTTCAAGATACTGAAAGATAGTGGTTTATGACATTGCAGTTATTATTAGTTTGAGTTATTTTTTGTGTGTGTGTTTGCACTGTTTATAATGTGAAATGCCTGATCGAAATCATTTGCCATTTTATAAGAGACGTGTAAGTTATATTTTAATATTTTACAAAAAAAGAACATGTGTTTTATCTAGATACTAAAGCGCGGGAAACCGCTCAAAGAGCTGATGGTTTTGTAGCTATTTAGTCTGTCTGTCATGGACTAAACAAAACATGGTGTTATTTATCCAATTGGGCTATTAGAGGTAACTTATGGTAACACTTTTTTTATCAAATTTAACACAGACTTCCGTTGAACTCCGTCTGTTGACAGACTACTGTTGAATACTATGCGTTTGGTACTATTGTGTAATATTATCTGGACAACTGATAGTATTCGTATTTTGTCATAATTTTCAATAGGGGTATGCATATACACCATTAACGTTTGATAGTAATCCTACAGTAGAGGTTCTCACAGGTGATGCTATCGACATTAAATCGACTATTAGATAAAATAAACGCGCTGTCTTTCAACATCAAACTGTTAAGAAAGAACTTTATAATTTTGCAGATCGTAAACAGTACTAAAGTCTCAAATAGTTAGACGTCCTATATTTTTCTTTGCCAATTCTCGACTTCCATTCCAGATTTAACTTGGTTTCCCGCCGACGTCGGCGCCTTGGTGGTATTTGAGAGGTCGCCAGTTCAAATCCAATTCTTGTATTGTTAATTGATTTTCAAATAAGTTTTACATCGTTTGTAGATATGCTTAAAACACTACATTACTATTTGAGAAATAGGCAGAGGCTCACACTACGATTTTCTCCTGTGCCGTGGGTGCGTTTACAAACATATAAGTTCACATACACATGACACCCAGACATTAATAATAATTACACAACTAGACCTTTAACACCTATTGTACTTTCTACAGCAAAAACACCAATATGTTTACCTAAATATTTTCCAAGTGTAATTTCTTACATATAAAGTATGTAAACTTACGCGATACTGACAGGTGTTTATGGGATGAGTGACGTCTTATAAATACTTTGCTGACGTCTTGACCTAATTCCCATTGATTTATACCACATACTTTCTCGTAAATAAACATTCAGTGTATTTGTTCTGTTTGAGAGAATTGAATCTGAAAATTATTTTCACATCTATGAATCTGGTAAACAATAAAGTTTAGAAACTTTAACACAAGGTTGAAGTAACTGACATTAAAAGGTCGTCTTTTAGTACTAATATTATTACTTATAAAAATCTGCATAGCGACGCAACAATATTACTCGTATCTGAAACAAAAATAAAAGTGAAAAAATTACTCACTCGATCTATAAATATTCGCGCAAGTACAGTCATCGTCTGCAGTTCATCGCCATTTACAAATATTGTCAATCCGTCCCTGGCATGTTTCCAGGCTATGGAAGTATAGGCGACATTTTTCGCGTTTCTGGCCTCATTTTTAGCTCCACGCTGTCTCCAAACTCTACGATTTTTTTCTTAAGACGACACTTAAGTGGGTCAACGATCTAATGAGCAGTTTGTACTTGGTTTATTTATTTAGAAAAACGATTTTGTCCATGTTTGGTGTTTGGTTGATGAAGTTTCAATCTTTTGGATTGAAGGTTGTTATAGCTTAAGTTGGATGTAGGTTCAGTTAATTCGATTTAGGTTTGGCTCTGGTTTAAATATCTCATTTATATAATAATATGTTCATAATAAACTTCTCAACAAACAAATGCTAAACAAAAACAAGTTCGATACACAAGCAGACGTGACTAACTTAGCGTCTGGTTTTAATATTAGAGAATGCACCCTTTGTACAGAACACTAAACACATACCGACTTATTACCTCGTTGATCGATATAATTTACTTCAGTACCATTTCCTAATAAGTTAAACAAACAGTATTAAATATAGGAACAAAATAAAGGGGATTAAATCGTTAAGTAATTATTTGAAAACATCATTACATACTCCTTTTGTTTATAGAAGTAGTGTTGGGCTATCAATCTGTGTGATAAGGGGTCAAAAGTGGCACAGCTCCAGTAGTGTATGTTCCTTGTGCGGGTGCAGTCTCATATCGGATATATTCTTGGGATATTTTATTATTTACATGTGATTTGTTGGGACTTGTGATTGCTTCGTGTGTGTACGAGTATTGCATTGTGCAAAGATTGAGAAACATTATGGGGGATTTATTTGTAAGTTACTTGTTGTTTATTTTTCTTACGATAACGCGTCATGCGCCCTAAAAGTCTGTAAATATGGTTATCTAGCGTGGTGGTTACAGTTGGTCCATGTTTGCTTAATCTCGTACATCAAAGTTTGAGTTTTCCACATTTCTCACAAAAAGTTCAACATGATGCAATGTAATTTACCCACTAATGTAATCAAAACACATAATATGCAATGAGTTGTAACGTCGTAAAGAATATGACTGTACTGTATGATAACAATAACAACATTGTAGGGAAAACATCTCTCCAACGCTCAGGACAAATTAATTTACAACACTATGTATGTACCAACTATAATACATAGATACAAGTATATACAACTTACTGGTTTATCTTCTCTCAGGTTCTACTCTCCGACCCTGATGCTGAGGTGTCGAGCTGGCCGTTGGAACTGGTGGCGTTGAGAGACAAAATACATGGAGAGACCGCCAAGTCGCATGCTGAGAAGGAGGTAAGACTTTTTTTAAGGGGGGAAAATCATCGAATGACTGCTCCCGTCTGGGTGAGGCGGGAGGGAGTGTCAGACTCTTACTGACTAAAAACTACCCTGTTCCTTCTCCTACGCTTCGAGCCGGAGCCCCGGTAACCCGTTAGGTTCTCCGCGATTCCGAATCGGCATCAGTCCTATTAGGCCCCATCCGTGATGGTCTGAACACTACCATAGCAAAAATGTTATTGAAATCATACATGGTTATGACTTATCACCTTCTTGACTTTGAACATATAACAAATGAACTCAAATTGCCTACTAGCTACTTGGCTGATACCTAATAAAAATCTTGTCTCAAAATTAACACCGTAGTGATTGATGCTTGCAAAGTTAAAGTACACATTGAAATTGTATCCTAATTTATTCTTATTCTTACAAGAATGTGCGCGAAGTCACAATTCACCAATCCTATTTAGAGATTGTAGGACGAGTGATGCATTTTATATTGACAGTGCAATGCGTGCGTTTATCCTGAAGCCAGTACAAATGTATGTATGTATGTATGCATGTAATTTTGTACAGCGTGTGACATTAATTTTAATTAATTATAAGTAAGAAATTTGCTCCGGTTCAATGGGCAGGAATAGGAACGGCGTTTTTAGTCAATAAGAATCTAACGCTCCCTCTCGCCTCACCTGGTTGGGAGAAGTCATTGGGTGACTCAGTCATTGAAGTAGTTCAATAACTTATTAATATTACTTGATATTTATAACCCTGTATATATCTATAATACTAGGTGTAGTGGACGTAGGGCAACTCCTGTGACCCACTTAGTCTGCTTTGTCGGGAGCGCGAGTGATACAGCTTATTTATAGTCTACCTTTATGTCACGTGCATAAATACTATTTGTAAAGGTATGCTTGTTGTACGCGAAGAAAATCGGTTTCTTACTATTAGATACGTATTCAAAATAAGTTGTCTATTTACCATAGCCATGCCATAGTCATAAACCAATACATTATGTTATTGTGATCATTAAGAATGAGACTACATTTGTGTTGAATAATGGCATATTCTGTTTGCTACGAAACGTAATAACGTGCACTTAAAGTGCTGTTTACTTAATTAGTTTACTTAGTTCTACAAACAGTGACTGCGGCGTTGGCCGAGTGGTCACAAGTGCGACTGCCGGGCAAGGGGTCTCGGTTTCGATTACCGAATCGGGCAAAATATTACAGTATTAAAAAAAAATCTCAGTAGTGTAGCACGGAGTCTGGAATTGTGCTCGGTGTATGTGGCAATACACTCACCCTCTATTACATAGGACTTATAACATAAACAGTGAAAAGTGGATGTTACATTGTACTGTGGCATTAAGTGCCGTAATATGCACCTCTGCCTGAGTGCTACAAACAACAACATAATGTAAAATCGGTTTTCTAGAACAATGTTATCAAAAACATTTATGTATACGTCTTCTTTCGCCTTGACGAAAAAGAAGCGTAGAAATGAATAGTTGATATCATAAATGGTAGTTTTATCGGTTATGTGCACTGCATTTGTAAATTAATTAAAGTGCATCGACTCGCCCAATTAGGTACTCAAGACACTGCGCCTAGAGGGCACTCGATATAATTTTATTTACTTGCAAAATGGCTGACACCTCATTAACATCAAAGACTAGCAGTATTTAGCTTTATGACTAACTCTAATCACGCACATATTCCACAACATAGTAAAGAATGAAAATAATTGCTCTAAAATATAAAATTAGTTGTACATCTCGTGTAATATTTTTGTCACGCGACGTAGCTTCAATAAATCCCTTGGCCGTCCAATAAATTCCCATACACTTAGACAACTTGCTCTATAAATACGAGCCACCCTCGGATTCCCTCGCCATGACTGGCCCACTCGTAAATCCGACCAACGTTTTAGTCTACAACACTTTTTGTTCGTGTTCCTGTTAATTAAAGTAACGTAAACGTACGCGTTTCTGTTAGTTCGATTGTTCGGTTCAGGGTGGATGTATGGAAAGTGACTTGGATAATAATAGATGTGTGTGTATGATGTTCGGGATGTGTTTTGTCTGCTCATGTTAAAAGTTGAGGTAATTTTATGCTAGTGCGTTTATAAGTTTCAGGACTTTTGTATTTGAACATTTACGTATCTTGGTGGTTGGTTTTATTTGTATTGACGGTGTAGTCTATAACTCAAATTAAATATTCTAGGAACATAATAAGGAATACAAACATACAAGTCATACAACTTCACCATAGCTGTGCCTTTAGCCAAACGCCACTTTAGCGCTTGTCTACAGAGAGAGTAGAAAACTAAATGTATGGAGATGACACTGACAAGTGTCAAAATTCGTAAATTTTATGGAATTGACGTATCAATTCCATATAATTTGGTTTTCTATTCTACATGTAGATAAGCGCTAAATGGAATTTGGCTACAGCTGCAGGTTAGAAGTATTGAAAACTGCCTTAAGGTCGGCCTAAGTGGTACCTTAAGACATTAATAATGCGTAAATTAAGGATTGCGGTAGTACGTGATGCTGAAATACTGAGAGAGTAGTGGGTTCGTGTGCAGCGACCTAATAACCTATATCCCTAGGTGGTTCTGGATTCTAGATAATGTACACATATAATATGTTATAGTGAAAACTATAACAGTTTCGTAATGCACTACTACTTAGTACACCTGTTTGATGTTTGCATACCTAAATATTTATACAGGAAAGAAAATAATAATAATAAAAGGTAAATTATCAATTTTTTAAATTATACTGCAAAATATTTCAAAATTATTATAAGTATTCATAATCACAAATGCAGTATCTACATCATAATACATCTATTTAAATATTTATTAAAAATATTAAACAACAAAAATAAATTAATTTATTTAGTATGTCTCACGAAAGTTACAATACAAATGCAGCAACACTTTAATTTAAAAATATTTTATCCATAATCAGTAATAATCACACAAAAAGCACACTTAATTAACCTTTTGAACGCCAGAGCAAAAACGCATGAACTTGCCCTCAACGCCAAGCCACAAATTCACCGCAAATACCTACGAAAAAAATAGGGATTCCAAAACTTCATCGATAATCAATTTTATTTTCATTTTCGTCTTTAATATATGTCCTTATAACATTGAAATTTAATTCAACATTACATTTCTTCCTATTAAAGTAATAGTTATACACTATTTACAGACTTGTATAATACCGTAATAACAGATATGAGACTACAATATATTTAAATATAATAACTGTAGGTACAACACTATTCTTGATCTGCTGTCTTCATATTGTGACCATGGCGTGGACGGCCCGCCATTTTAATAACTACTTCGCTTCCGAAATAAGGATGTGGCAACGTAATATCTCGTTTATCGATGTTCTAGTACAATATTATTTTATAATAAATGAAACACGTTTTTTAAATCAGATTTATAATTCCGAACGTAACAGGTACTTAAAAATATATGATTGAAATAGGTTAAGAAGGTAAATAAAAACTATGAAAAAATAGAAAATTTTAATAAAATGTTATACAGTATGTACTATGTATACATGTTTTTAAATATTAAGTTCTATAAACCTGGCATAAAAAGTAACAAATTAAAACAATTAACGATTATATATAATTATCACAATTACCAATCAGTCTTATACTAATAAATCTTTTGAATAATAGAACAAAATTATACAAAATCTACAATGCAACCTGCATTCTGATCATCTAATTCGCTGGTGCAAAGTGGGTGGTGGGGACAGTGAAATCGATCTCAGCGCGCACCGTGGCTAAAAAAGGAACTTTTGGCAGACTTTATTCCACGAAGTTATAGGTAAATATGGAGCCCATACTTAGAATAAAAGTTTCGAGTCAAATACTCTCGCTCCTATTCTCTGAGGCAAACTGAGGTCTGATCTCTTTTTCTAGTGTACTACAGAAATTGAAACAAACTGACCTCAGACAGTAGAAGAGAAATAAAAATTCAAATAGGTATTTCAAGTGTGTACTGTGTACTCCATCTTTACCTACACCTTCATGCTTTATTCACTGCTTACTCCTCGTAAAGACAATGACAGTCAACTATTTGACGTACCAAGGTCCGCCGAGTCCGCCGACCGCTAGTTGGCGCTGTCATCGCGCACCCAGCGAATAGTAAGCCATGTGTTATCAGGCATAAAAAAGTAACAAATTAAAACAATTAACCATTATATATAATTATCACAGTTACCAATCAGTCTTATACTAATAAATCTTTAGAATAATAGAACAACATTATACAAAATCTGCATTGTATTATCTTATCAATTTTTAAAATAAAAGCAGATAAAAATAATTCAACCTCTAAATCAAATTCGTCCAAAGATTCTGTTTCCGAAAATTCTTCGTCATCTGAGACTCCTTCTAATATGCGAAGAAGTTCTTCCGTAGTCATTAAATTCCCACTCATTATAATAGTCACTTAATATAAATCTTGAACTCGATATCACAAGTAAATTAATCATAAATATTATTCATTCACTTCACTAATTTCTGGTCGCCGCGCTTGTGACGTCACGATGTTGTCGTCTAGTCGTGACCATGGCGTACAGGGTACTGATAATTCGGGTTGCGTTAGGGATGCGCTTGAGTTGGGATTAGTGAATATCGAAATTCGACCCAACCAAATTTTATTTCAGACTATGTAGCTTATTGAATGATTTTTAAGACTGGTTTTAAAAAATTAATGCTGCTTTATCCTAGTACCAAATTATACCTAAAATAATATATTCCAGAGGAAAGTTTCGAATCGATCTTTGATTTGAAATAATGATATTATCCAACATGCGCTACATCACTAGCGGTCACGCAGTTATGACTCTGGCGTGTGAGGACATTCTTTTTTCAGAGTTTATTTCTTTCTTCTTAACGTAAAATTTCTCAGAATGTTACCTAGTATCCTTTGGAAAATGGCTGGAGAGGTCTTCAATCCAAACGGCAAACACGTCCATT